GCCGTGGGGATGGGGACGGACGGACGGACGACGAGCTCGGGCTCTGCTCCTCCTGCGCGGCTCCGTGTGCCGCGTCTGAGGCGCTGCCTGCTGCTCGCTGCCTTTGGTTTCACGCTGTAGTAGGCAGCGGGCACGTGTTCCTGCTCTGTCTGCTTGTAATCCTGTGAGTAACCTACTTTTTTTTTTCCTCCTAGCATGTCCAAAATACTGAAGTGTGCTGGAAACGAAGACATCATAACTCTCCGAGCAGAAGACAATGCGGATACGTTGGCTCTAGTGTTTGAAGCACCAAGTGAGTGTTAGATTTGGGAACTAATTTGCTACCGTGGTATCTTTAGGTAGCCTTTGTAAACCGGGCAGGGAAGGATACTTCAATAAATACTTCAGAAATGGGAGGGGTCACCTGATACTTAACCTCTTCAAAAAGTCTGGAGATGGAAGCTTAGTCAACTTGACTAATACTTTGTTTGTAAGAGAGACTCTTCTTTAGGCCGCACACAGATGCTCTTGGTAGGTTGCTGTCCTCTTAGAGCCTACAAAAGGCTGTTTGGGTGACTTTCAGATTTCTAGTTCTAATTGAACAAAGTGGATCTTGCTGTAATTAACATAAATTTACTTGGCAGGAGGGAGAGGGGCAGAACTTGAATTCAGGATGGTAACTTCAGAAGCACTTGGTCAAGCTATGTTTTGTTTCTTTAGATCAGGAAAAGGTTTCTGATTATGAGATGAAGCTCATGGATCTTGATGTGGAGCAGCTTGGAATTCCAGTAAGTGGCTTGAATGACTGACTGCACTGTCTCTTAGAAATAGTGTTTTCCATGTTCACATCAGATTTGGAGTTTGAACTTGTAATGTAACTTCCTTTGGAAAGACTAGACAAGTCAAGCGTAGTGACTAGACCAAGCTTCTCGGTAGAAGTTTAATTGTGATACTTCCTTTGCAGGAGCAAGAATATAGCTGTGTGGTGAAAATGCCTTCCGCTGAATTTGCACGCATCTGTAGAGACCTCAGCCACATCGGTGATGCAGTTGTCATCTCCTGTGCAAAAGATGGTGTAAAATTTTCAGCTAATGGAGAGCTGGGCAATGGGAATATCAAGCTGTCACAGACCAGCAATGTGGATAAAGAGGAGGAAGCTGTAAGTTACACGTTTGCGGGTACTGTGGTGCCTTACCCTGGGGCCTGCGCGCGGCGTTTGGCAGAACAGTGGGCAGCGCTGGCTGCCTTTGCATGCGGTGTCTGAATTATTTGAGAGACTTGAGGGAACTTGTTGGATTTATGAGATCTGATGTGGCTGATGGTTTTCTAGGTTACAATAGAGATGAACGAGCCAGTCCAATTGACCTTTGCTCTGAGGTACCTGAACTTTTTTACCAAAGCCACTCCCCTGTCACCTACAGTAACCCTCAGCATGTCTGCAGATGTTCCTCTTGGTAAGTACAAGCAGCTCTCCTTGGCAATACCCTTGTAGAATGCTGCTGCCTTAGAACTGCATGAAGAACTCTTGATTGAATGGCTTTTCTGAAGAACCTTCTGAATACTCTTTTTTTTTTCTTTCCCAGTTGTGGAGTACAAGATTGCTGATATGGGACACTTAAAATACTACCTGGCTCCAAAGATTGAAGATCAACAAGAAGGCTCTTAATTGGAGTAGGACTGAGGGGGAGATCTGGTCCTCCTTTGGGGAGGACAACTGATGTTGAGAAGGAAATGGTGGTGGTAGCAGTTTCAGTGCATTGGAGCATCATATGAGCACTGTTAGGCATGTTGTGTAGATAACTTTGTAAATATTTTTCAACTTACTACTTTGCTATACTGGTGTCATTGGAAATAGGAAATTTTGTTTATTCTAGTTGATTCCTGTGCTTCCAGTAATCTCTTAGATGCTGTCTTAAGGTGAAATATCTTACTCCTTTCAACTTGTGTTAGAGAAGGGGTGCAATATTTAACTTGAGTAATGACAATGTTTCCTAGAGGTTCCCCTGTGGAACTGTAGTTGACTAGGGTTGCTGTTCAACTATGCCATGAGTTTGTTTGCCCTTACTCCATCCATTTATTTTTGAAGCAGGTATTCTAACTGAAACTTGGAAAATGGAAATAAAGAGTATAATTTCGTGGGTTTTACACTGTTTAAATGTGGATGGATGAATCAATGCTTTGTCAAACTGTGCTAGTGTACTCTGATCTTTTCTGAAAGCAACTGCAACAGGCAAGCCTCTGCTTTTTTATTGTACTTGAGTTCCCAGCTTCTGCTTGCTTTGTTAGATGCTGAAATGAAGGGGCGTGGTTACAATGTGAGTTACTAATGGCTCCATGATACTGTTTCCTTTAAGCAGAGGAGCTTTGTGAAACAGGTTTTTTGCTGATGCCAGAGCTGCGTGTGGCAGGGGCTGTGCCTATAGCTGTCACTCTGGCTCTCGGTGAATTCAGAGCGTGTAGGCATGTGCTGTAGTGACCAAGAGTTTCTTGGATTGAACCCGTCTTGGTTTTGGCCCTACAGTTTGTGGCATACGGATGTTAAGCTACTCAACAGGTCTGCGTGTGTGTTCATCAGCTGCCTCTGTCCCAAACCTTACACGCTTCTGTGACAAGTGCAGGGCACTTGCCTGTGGCACCAGCAATTCCTCACAAGCCAGGATATTTGTGATCATATTGCTCATATTTATTGTTGGTGAAGATACAAGGTCTACAGTGTGTTTCACCCTGAATGGTTGATCATGAAAAATAGGATTTGAAAACAGTTTCAGGCAGCTGCTGGGTTTTTTCTTTTACTGTATGGCTACTGGCTAGCTGTAAATCCTTACCCCTCCGTCTGGAATCTGGGTGACTCTACTTTGTCACAAATGAAGAAACTGAAAAGCAATTCTGTTTGCTTGATTGGTGCTGTGTGGTAAGTAGTGCCAGCAGCCTCTTAGGTGCTGTGGGTATGCTTGAGTTTTTTAGGAGGCTATCTACTTCCCACTAGTCAGTGATGTGAGAGTATCTTGAGTGTGAACTGCCTGTAAACTTGACAGTCGGAAAACCTGACTGATTTAGCAGAAGAATTTCACAAGGTGGCAGTACTGATAAACTAATTCTGCTGTGTCAGAATATATCTACCATTGTGATAGAAACTCATCCCACCTCAAAGCTGGGGGACAGGATTTCCCCAAGTCTTGGCTCCTCATTGCTAGTAGTGTTAATTTATTAGTAGAGATGGCTTAGGCTGTGGTTTTCTGCTCTGATGCAGGCAGCTCCCTGCTTAGTTTTCAGCTCCCATGTCAAGCTTTCTCTCCAAAGCATGCCCTGTTTATTTTCTTTGAACTGTCATATCTTAGTGGTTAATTCAGTACCTTCAAGAAAACATCTCCAAAGCAAGATCTTCAGCTGCCCTAAAGTTTTTCAATAATTGCTGAGTTATTGCCCAGACCAGTAGTAGTGGATACTTTGGATAACCAGGAGGTTTTTTCACTCCAAACATGATGTTTCTCTGATCAGATTGCTGTTGTGGTAACCACAAGTATCAGCAGAGAACCAAAGATTTACGATGTTGAAATAGGGAAGGATTCTGGTTTTAATGATGTGAGTAAAGCTGCGCTAGTGATTGAAGCAAATTCTTTTTGGTGCAACCTCCTGCTGCAGGAGGGATTGCCACACACTTGTTTGTGCTTTTCTACTCATAGATGCATTGTAAAAACAAGCCAAATGGTTTAATAGCTTATTTTTACAGCTGTAATAACCAAATTGAGTAGAAGAAACATCAAATTGAGTTGTAAGAAACATCCTTTGATGTTAGTGTCTATGCACTTGCGTACTGTCTGCTTTCTGGATAAATCCTTAAAGAAGGTGAATGTTTACTTTGCTGTTGCTGTACCCAAATACTGAAATTTGAGATATTATCTTTAAAAAAAAACCAAACACCACCACATAACCCCAAAACACCATCAAAAAAAGCTGGGGAGGCTTAGTAAATGTTGTGTGTGTTTCTCCGTGTTTGAGAGTAAGCTTTTGAAGTTTATATTTAGACTTTCTTACCAAGGAAAAAATGAGGGAGAATCTTTGAAACTTAAGGAGAATAGGCTTTTCAGGCTGTAAATCCAGTGTGTATTTTATTAATTTAGAGGAACTGGAACTGTGGCAACTCCTACAGTTTCCTTTTTGGAGCAGTTGGAGGAAGTGGATCCCCAGCTGTGTTTGATCTGATGGGTTAATACTGTTCCAGGTGCCAGAAATAATTTTCTTGTCTGTCATACTTAGCTCTAATGGAGGGCTGTGCTGTGTCTGACAGTTTAATTTTGTCCAGATCTTCGTTTAGAAATCCAACTTTATTTCAAACTCTGTGTAGAAGTGATGTGTACAAACATGCCGTTTCACAGTCTACAAATGCAGCCCTGAAATGACATATTAGCTCTGGTGGGTCATGTGTGATGTGGGCCTGGGCGACCCAGGACACGGGTTGTGCCACTCTGCCCAAGGGCACTGTGATTCCAGCTGCTAATCCGGAGTGTGAGGCTGAAAATAACCCAGCGGAGCTGAGCCAGTGAGAGGCTGCTGCCATAACCTGGAAGGAAATTACTGTCATCAGGAATAAACTTCCTGGGTTGTTCCGCAGCCGGGGCAGTGCAGAAGAGAAGCGGCAGTGAGTGAGATGGGTTTGACCAGCTGCCTGAATAGTAGGTAACTGTCTTTGTGTGGTTTTATTAACGTTCTGAAGCTTTGTGAGGCAGGGTGTGCAGGCTGTAGTTTTGGGGGAGTTTTCAGACATATTGGGTACTTCCTGTTTAGCAGCAGAGAAACCATTTCGTGTCTGGAGCGGGGGGGTTGGGTGTGTTATCATGTTAGGTGTGAGGCTTGAAGCTCTTGAAAATGCAAGTAATTACATTCCCTTCCGTATTACTGGACAGAGACGGTAGGAAAATATTTTGCTCTTTCTTGGGGGATAAACAGGATTTTGGCTCGAAGTGCCATGTTTGCATTTACTGGCAGGCTCCCCTTGTGAGCCTGCGCTCCGCTCTGGAAGCCTTCCCCCAGGCAGTGTGCTGTCAGACTGGGTTTAAAACATGACGGTAGCGCATCACATTACAAAACTTGAATTACAAATGTGATTCACCATTTATTTAGTTCTTAAAGAGCACAGCACTGAGCTTGTTTCTGATCTTGAACCAATATAAAGCACAAAGAGTGAAGCTTAGTGGACTTGAACCTGGCCCTGAAGCATGAGGTCTGAGAGTATTTTTTGCATTTGTCCTTAATAATCTCTTTCTTGTTGGTAAGGAAGGTAATGGGAAGGGCAGGACAATTTATGTGAGTGTAAATTGGAAATAATTCCTAGGAAGCCACTAGGAATAGCCTGGTAAATAATGGGATAGTCAGTAAGAAGTGCTGTGGTACTGAATGGAATGGGGCAGAGTCAGGAAATCTGCTGCATTTCAGCTGTGCTGATTTCTTTTGGCTGCTTCCCCTCCTACATGTCTACCCTCCAGGAATGTGGGAGTCTTGGGGGTGTTTGAGTCCTGTGACCTGAAAAACAGGTATGTGTAAGGAGCTGAGGAAGTGAGTGTTACCACCCCATAGGTGGGTGATATTCCTTTATTGATGGGGCTAGAAATGTTTTCTCTCTGTTTGGTTTTTTGCCACAAAAAGGTCAAGTTAAAGGTAAACTGGGGGGGTTTAAGATCAGAGGGTCTTGGGCTTTTATAAAAAGCCAAGTTTAGTGCAGGAGGAACAAACCTGATGGCAGGGGAACGTGCCACCAATTAACAAGAGGGAGATGAAGGATTTCAGCTCAAGTGGACACTAAATATTTTGAGGAGATGCTATTACCTTGGATGCTGAATAGTGTTACGGAAAAAGCATCTTTGTCCCTTCCTGTTAGAACAGTTGGGATACGCACTTTGTTTTCTTATTTTCTGAGAAAGTATGGAATAAAGCTATTCAAGTTGGAAATTTTGGGAAGCCTATTTTCTGCTTGACTTCAGGGAGTCATAGCCCTGGGCTGCAGTGCAGGTTCAAGGCTGTGGGTCAGCAGACATCCCCCCAACCCATAGGTCCTGCTGGGAGGAGTTGTCAGGCCCTGTTCTGTGGCTCTGCAGTGAGGCAGGGATGTGTTGCCAGGTCAGATCCAGGCTCAAGCTCCTGAGAAGCTGGGCACCAAGAAACAAGCTGGCTCTGCCCCTCTCCTTGGGACTGTTGCTGCTGGCAGCAAAACCACAGGGCTTGGCTTCATGGCACAGAGGAATTGCAGGGTATGGCTCTGGGATAACTAAATACAGCTCTACCCTGAATGCTGCCTCCCTCGCAGCTAGGCAGACAAGTGACCTATGCTTTTTTAGCTCCTTGCTGGTTTTTTGGTTACCTCATCAACTAACCACTCCATCCCCTTGTTGTGTTCCCTCTGAGTCATGACTCAAGCTGTCTCAGAAATGACAGCTTCATTTCATTCTAGTTTCCAGTGGGCTTTGGTTTGTTTTTGCAAAATGGATCTATTGCAAAATATCCAGCTGGTTGAAAAGCTGCTTTTCATAGTTCTGGTTTGGGTTTATTTGCCAGTGTCCCTGTTTAGAAATAGCTGGACCTCAGACATCTCCCTGCTGGAAGTGTGATCTTGCAAAATAAGAGCTGGTTTATACATTGTATATTCTGGAATTTCTCTTGTTTTAAAAGCAAGTTCTACCTTAATTTGATTTTGCTTTCAAATATTGGCAAACCCTGATGCAGCTATATTCATACTTTTGTATTTTGGGCTTAAATACAAAGCTTTGTTTGTTCTTTTTCATAAATCTTATCAAAGATGCCTTTTTGGTTAGTACAGGCTTTACACTTTTGTTTCTCTTAAGAAACTTGATCTGTGTGTCAGAGCAAACTGGATGATAGAGTCTGTATTTTTTTGGCTATTCCTTGTTCTCTAGGATCTAGCTGATGCTGAAGCTTCCTTGTAATGATGTCATCACGTACAAATCTGACTGCTGGGATTCCCAGTAGCAAAGTCAAATATTCCAAGCTCTCCAGCACTGATGATGGATATATTGACCTGCAGGTAAAAAGCGGGGAAGAAAAACCTCTTTCTGTTGCTGCTCTGACTGTAAACTACTAGAAAAGGCAGCTATAGGTCTGCGTGTGCACAGGAGTCTGCTTTTTTTGTTCATCTCTGGTAGAGCAGCCTCAGCTCAAAGGTACAAAGCCACTTGAGCCCTTCTCCAGAAAATCTGTAGAGCTTAACTGGAAACAAGATTGCTTGTACAGAGCCTTGCAGCAGAACTGCTGTGCCTTTGTCCCATATAATCTCTGCTAGCTGTGGGATCTGTGTCTCTGTCACGGTACGAGTGGATCTGTGCCAAGTTAAGCTGTTTAATATTTGTTTTTTCCATCCAGTTCAAGAAGAGCCCACCAAAAATCCCCTACAAGGCAATTGCACTGGCTATTGTGCTCTTCATGATCGGGACCTTCCTCATTATCATAGGAGCCCTTCTCTTGGCAGGATACATTAGCAAAGGCGTAAGTGGTTTGATTACACTATTAGAGTTTTGCATTGCTTGCCTGTTCCTCAAAGGCTGCCATGAGCAGTCAGTGTAGAAATTCAGAGCAAAAGGCCCGTAAGAGTAAGTAAATCCCCTCCATGCCTTGCTGGTGTTTGACAGTCCTGTTTCTCTGGCAGCAGAGCTGTATGTCTTCAGTTAGTAAGTCTGGAGCAGGTTCATAGCTGGACTGGAGATCTGTCAGGGAGGGCTCAGTTTTCCTGTCTTCCCTGAGGTACAGTTTCTTCTTAATGCTGCATCCCTGCAAAGGTGAGCTTGCTGTCCTGGAAAATCTTCATGGTGGGATCTTCACTCTTCTGGCGAAGATCGTCGGGTAACTTCTGCAGGAGAGAACCAGACCCCCATATAGGACACAGCACCACAGTTCTCATCCCTCTGTGTTCATGATCCATTGATAGGGCATCTGTTGTTTGTAGCTGACTTGGTGTTCCTCTGGGGCACACTTCTGCTCTTACCTTGTGCCGTATGGAATTGTTTTACAGTTGGCAGCTGCTACTTATCGTTGTGGAAACAGCAGCATTTTGGCTGTATCGGAAGCAGTCCAGGCACAGATAGGACAGCTTGCTCTCGGCTGAGCAGGCAGCACCCAGGCTGTGGCTGGCAGTTTCCTAATGTGGTTAGTGTTAGGAGGTGCCACCCCTCCCAGCTGAGGGAGAAGTTCAGTTGGGAGTTTCCTGTAGCCAGGGGGAGATGCCAGACCAGGGAGGACACTTAGAGCTCAGCCTGGAGAAAACTGAGATCTTTCTGATTTAAGATGAACTTTCAGTTTTTGTCAGCTAGCCAGGCCTTGGGGAAAAACAGTTGTGACAGTTTGAGGCAGGACTTGAGAGAAAGGAAAGGTTCCCCTGATACAGATCTCTTCTTACTGCACTTGCATATCTCTCCTCTCTGCTGCAGGGAACGGACCGTGCCATCCCCGTGCTCATCATTGGGATCCTTGTGTTTCTCCCAGGCTTCTACCACCTGCGCATTGCATACTATGCTTCCAAAGGCTACCGGGGCTATTCCTACGACGATATCCCAGATTTTGATGATTGAACAATGTATTTAATTGCATTATAATTAGGCTGGTGGTAAGAGCTGTTAGCTACCTTGGATATTGGGGGGAACTGTAAGATTGTAGATGCAATATATCAGTCACGAGCTGCCAGTTCCTGGTTTTGAGGGGTTTCAGGATTTTCATGTGGGGGAGTGGGTGCTCAAACATGGAATTGACCAAAAAACTGCAACATTAGGTGGGAAGAACATGTGATTTATTGTATTTTTCCTCTTTTGGTTGCATAATGCTGGTTGCTTGTAAGAAGTTCTTCTTGGGCAAGGCAATTCTAGCAGTTTTCTAAAAATAGATGAGACTATTCCAGCAGCAAAGAGATTGGTTCTTCTGACTTTTATAGAGTTTATTTTAGTTTTCAGTGAGATTGTGGTTATCGTTGGGTTTACCTTTGCAGACAAACACCATAGTTGCATTCTCCTTTTGCTCTCTGTCCATCAGAAATGCTTCCAATCTACTTGTCCTGTGCTAGTCTAGAGTAATGCAAGTCAGATGTGTACAAGAGGGGGGAAACTGCACTTGCATGAAATAACTTACATGTAGTGCATTTGCCGCACAACTCCTCTTGTCAGACTGACCAAGCTTATTTACTCAGCAAACGCATTCTTCAGAAGCAAGCTGTTTCCCACGCCACTGTTACTTTTGGCAAAATCTGCTTATCCTTTAAAAGAACTGTTGTTGGATTTTGTTTATTCTAAACAAACCAAATGGATATGGGGAGAAGAATTGGTATCCAGACCAGGATTCAAGTGTCTAAATACTCACACTAGTCAAAATCAAGATTTTTGGTATTGGAGACGCTTGAATTCCAACTGTCTGCATGTATATTTGGAATCACTTTGTCCTTGTGCATAACTCCCTAGACCAGTAAAAAAAATCTGTATAGTTTGTACTGAATAAATCCCACTTGTATTGTTTTGCTAGCTTTAGTGATAGGTTATTTGGGAAAACAGATTGGTAGCTCAGTTTATGTAAAGCAAAAACTGTCTCTTGAAGTGGGAATGAAATTGGTGTCCTGGGGAACAAGTACATGACAAGTAGTGATGCAAGTTAATGTATTTAATATGAATAAACTTCACTATATTCTGTGTACAAATCTTAAGCTTGTCTTTTTTGCATTCACAGATCTGTGTGCTAAAAACTGTTCTGGGCAACCAGACTAAGGCTTTAGCTGAATCTGCTGATGCTTACCGCTTCCAATTGCTAATGTAGTCACTCCAATCAGCATTAGGCTTTGCTGAGCTAGCAGCTTTGGAACAGCTCCATCTGCTCTCCAGGACCCCTGGCTGACTTTGGGGCAGGGAACCTGGGATCGCCCTCCCCAGTGCAGCAATCTGCAGTGGCCTGGGTACTGCAGGGAAATGTGCTTCTCCAGAAGGTCAGGATCAGCTTTTTGAACCTCACATGCAGCCCTTGTTAAATATGCAAAGACCTTGGGACTTCTAATTGCTATGTTTCAGGGACCAGATAGACTGCACAAAGGACCTGGGTAACAGGAGTGGTGTCTGAGAATGGTTTGCAGGCTGGTACCTATGCTCCAGAATGGTCTGGTGTGCTTTATGGACTGAAAACTTTTGAAAGGAAGAGGGGCAGGTATGTGTGAGGGTTAGTGTGGAGCAGGTCCATGGAGAGATGTTGAGAACAGTGCTGGATGAATGCCTTCCTCTGAAAGTACTCTTAAAATTACCTTTTTTCCTCATCCAGTGTTCTAGATTAAACCCAAAGCCTGAGCCAAGATCTTTTTTTAACCTACATCTCTCCCTTGTTTGACTTAATTGGTTTGCATGTGCCCCAGTGTCGCAGTCTGAACAGTGACTGATTGAATTCAGGATCTCCCTTTCCATCTCTGAAGGCAACAACTATGTGTGTTCTTTCCTGCTCTGCTGCGTCAACGCTGGCCCTTGCCTGTCTCATGTTCCTCAGGGCTGATGGCAGCCCTGCTTCCCAGATGTCATCTACAGCTTGGCAGCAGCTGAAATGTGTCAGTTAAAGCTGGGTCTGGCCAGGAGAGTGGCTGCTGACGCAAACTCATGGATCAGGGGATAAGAATGTGGATTTGTTTGGGTTTTGGGAAAGGGGGGAGGAAGTGGAAGGGAAGTTTAGATGGGAAAAGGAAAGGGGAGGGAGAAGATGCTTTCAAGTAGGGCTGGTAAGATGCAGAAAGTTGGGAAGCCTGGGTGGACTAAGAAGGATAAGTAAATGTAGGGGGCAGGAGGAGAACATACTGACATTTGTGGAGGAAAGGCAATTAATTATTTTTTGACAGAAGCAAAATCCTCAGGCGGTGTAGTATAAATAAGAACAGTCCTTGCCCTAATGCTTGCAGGGCTGTCTGTACAAGGGATGGCTACAGAGAAATTTTCTTCTCTACAGGGACTGTTTTATATTTAATTTGGAAAAAAGGAGACACTTCTAGGAAAGAAAAAGGTATGTTGACCACTGGAAAAATGTAGATCCAGACAACTGCATTCTTTGAGTTGACATAGTGCATTCTAAGCATGGTTTTTCTCCAGAGCGTGTAAGTCTGTGGATGCTCAAATGTCTGTTAATTGTGTAGCTAATGGCCAGGGTTTGATTTTTCTCTTGCAAAATAGCAGGAGTTTACACTTACTTCAAGAGACTGGAAAACTTTTACTACAAACATTTTGTTTTTCTGAGCCTGTTCCATACCATAGCAGTGGTGCTCCTCTGGTATAGAATGGAGTGTAATTGGTGCTGTCAGCTCTTAGTTGTTAAAATGCTACATAAGGATGAGGTTTTCCTCACAAATGGGGCTGTTGTTTTGGTGTCTCTGTGCTGATCTTCTTAATTTTCCCTCCTACTCTGCCACACTGTGGACCTACATCCATGATTTGCATGGCTGGCTTGGCTCCTTTGCTGCCTTCCCTGGATCCCCAAATGCATTTCTGTACCCTTCCCTTGACTGTGGGTGCCAGATGCTGCTGCCAAACCCCACAACTAATGACTCTGCTCCTCAATTCCCCTTCTGTAAAATCATGAGTGGCATGGGTTTGGGGAGGACTGACTAACCCTCATTGCTGCGGTGAGTAAGAGGAAAATGCCTGTGAGGAAGTTTCTGGTTCTAGAGCAGGGCTTGAATGACAAATAAGGCACTGACCGAATACTGATGAATGAGGATAATACTGAATAGCTGTTTCCTTTACTGAGCATCATCCATTCTGGGCACTTGGCAAGGCAGCTGTCTCAGAGGAAAAAAAAAAGTCAGTATTTTTATAGCATGGCAGGGGATTATTATGCACAGAAGCTTTGGAGAAAAACAGGCACCTAGATTTCAGGCTCTTCTTGAGCTTAGGAGTGCTCAAATTCATGTATCCTCAGGGATGTTCTTCTGTTGCTGTTGTACAGTGTGTTTATACACTCGTGTACTTCATTTAACACCATGCAACTGCTGGAAAGATGTTTGGAAATGTGATTCTAGAGTCCTCTGGCCTGAGCTACCAGTGGTGCCAGAGAAATTCCCCTGGTGTATTATTTATAAGAGCAAAGACTCATTTTAAATCAATCTCATGATTTTTTTTGAGTGTTAGAGTGAACAAAGCTAACGAAAGCTCCCAAGCATCCTCACAGCAGAGGAAACTTATGTAGCAAAGCTGTTTGGAACATCCGGGTGACTGAACAAGGTAGCAGTGGAGACAGTCTTGGGTAGCTGCAGACATTAACTGCAAGCCCTGGGAACTGATGCTAGATCCAAACTGGCTCTTTCTCTGCTCCTCACTTGCAATGGCTCCCTTAGTAGCACATCAAGCTCCCTGAGGCAGAACAGGACCTGTTCCTCTCTAGGAGGCTCCTTACCACTGCTGGTGGTGCAAATGCCACCAGCTGAGGGAGATGGCCACCAGTGGCTCCTGCCTCAGAGATGCCATGTGTAACTAATGTTCTAACACTTCCCACAGCCAGCTTCCATTGAGAAGGAAAGTCAGGCAGCAGACTTGTACCAAGTGGTGACATTTGAGTGTAGAGCTAAGGAGACAAGCTGCTGCCTACGCTAGCTGAGGGACCTCAGTGGGCTTCCAGGAGAGGTGTCACATCTAGAGATGCTGCTAAAAGCAACATGGTCTCTGCCAGCTGAGGCACAGGATAAGGCTGAGGGCAGTGAGGGCTTATTGCAAGCATCACATCCAGTGTTGCACCTCTAAGGTGATGGCTAATGCCCATGTTGGGAGATCCTACAGAAGGATGCCTGCCTGAAAGGGACTCTATCATATGACAAAAATAGGAGGAATGGAGACACTCAGTGGTGGAAAGGAGCAATAGGGAAAGGCAGAATTATCCGGTGTGGTGTGCAAATGGTTCTCATAAACCCTTGAAAGAAGACGCAGAAATTGTACTTCTGTAGGTTGCTTGGAGTGAAGGGCATGGTGAGGTTTCACCCACCTGGAGACTGTGTATGAGCTTTGAGTCTGAGTGAAGCCCTAGCCCTGCAGGGCTTTTCACCCTACCCTGGTCTCAGTTCTCCCTTGGTTTAAGGCTGGTGGAGCCAGCAACGTGGTGCTTCTTACAGGCTCATCATTTTGCATCTGTGTAGACAGCCTTGTAAAGAGACATCATTCCCACTGCAGGCTGATCCTGGGACAGCAGGTATAAGTACTCCAGGTAGCAGCTTTACTTGTACTAGATACATTTTTGAGCATTGCTGTTGACCCTTTTCTCTGAGATTCTCCATTTGCTTGTGCTGATGGAGGTTCATGGGAGGGGGGGATGAGCAAGGCCCATCACTGGTCCTGTGGTGATGTAGCAAGAGGAAACTTGAGTTTCTAATGCCTTGTTTGTCTTTTCTCAGCAGCAGTTTGTATTTCCTCTTACTCTTTGGATAAACGTCATCCTTGAGGCCTGGCTGGATGTTGTACTGTTCGCCCACAGAGCGGGGTGGTTGTGAGGAGGCGGGGCTGGCCAGCAGGTTACTGATCTTAGTCCTGAACATATTTTAGTGGAAGTTGTGCAAAACATCTGCAGAGATGAGGGAGAG